ATTTGTGTATCTACATTTTTAACTCAAATATTTTTTTAATGAGATTAATTTATTTTATTTTATTACGTGATTTAAGACAGTTTAATGCATCTAATGATAGATTAGGAATATATTAATTATCTAAAACAATGTCATAACTACCTGTTACTGTCGTAATTTCAAGCGGTAGCTATTGATATAATTACAAATGAATCTTACAAGAAATATTTAGAATGTCATACTCGATATTACAATCACTGTCGCGTTCCTTGAGAAAATATATAAAAACCGTTACCAAACAATAGTAATTGTTGTATGTAGGTGTGCACGTGATTACTGCAACATACAATGTTGGTTATCACAAGGAATTGTTGTATGCAGCCAAAACATTACTTGATACATTAACGCGTGATTTATGAGAACATGACTATCACGTTTGCAGACCATAAAAGCTGAAGTAGACACGTTTGAAGCTCAGATGTGTTTGTATGTATATTGCGTCAATGTTATATTAGGATGACTGTAAAACTGATTATTATGACTGATAATGTAATACCTGAGGTAGTCTTTGTACAAAGCCATCAGAGTACTTTTGTGTCGTCTATTTTTTTATACAACAATGGTGGCAATTAGGTATACAGCCTATCTGATGATAAACGATTACTGTAGTCTATGGCCGCCTGAGACACCAGGACTGTCACGTGCGTTGCCGATCCTTAAGAAACCATAATAAACCCTTATATATAACCCTTCTTGAAAACCCTATGCTGTCTCTAGAAAAAACCTCAGCAGGTAGTTAATTCCAAAATCTACGTGAACGCGGGAACGATTTCAGAGGACCCTCCTCTTCTGAAACGCACTGTCTTCGGTCACTAAGGTTCCAGTGTGTGGGGATGAATTTCCTGTCAATGGCGAGAGGTGTAATGGTAAAAGTTAGTCGTAGGTATCATATCGAACAATTCTTCAGAACACAGCCCGTTGTATATTCGGTAGAACACATAAAGCGATGCGAAATCTCGTATCAAGCTAAGTGGATCGATACCGGCTGTGAGATGTTTCTTACTTTGTAAACTCTTTTGAACACGTAATGTGTTTCGGTTCGAGGGTGAAATTACAGGATATAGCATATTTATACTTGAATATAGCAACGCAAAAGTGGTAATACGGGCGTCACATGATTATGTCCGTAGTGTTGTTAATGTATAATAATATCACGAATAATAATGATCACGACTGCTACTTACCACTTGCCGTCAGCAAGTATTCTATTCCAGTCACAAAATAAAAAATACTATATTTGTCTTACACAACTATTAATTAATATTTTTAATTGAATTAAATGAATTTGCAATAGTATTTTGAGAATAACTATGGAAGGAAATTGATATATTATCTTATATGTAGCTTAAAATAAAAATACATTTACACATATTTGGTGTGTGTAATGTCAGTGTATTCATGGTGTGTCATAATATATTTAAAATAGCTTGGAATTTACGTTTATAGAGTAACAGAAATAGAGCACGATTAAGCTAGCGATTAAATGTAGCTATATTTATAATGGGAATTGTTATATACTCAAGTTGAGGCTAACATGACTCATTTAGTACTAATGGGGTAAAGAAACCGTAGCGAAATAGAGTTCAATATTCTCATTATATGTACGTATACGGAATAATAAGTCTGGCGAAACAAGGATGGCGCATTTTGTATTAAAAGTTTTTTTAATATCACTAGGGTTGCCACCCTTGTATTATATCAATATTAGAATTGGTACCACCATATGTTTCAAAAGCTTATACGTTAAACCGTTACGATATTTTCTTTACTAGGGTACTAGAGACATAATGAGTATATCCATAAGTCCCTAGCTATAAACTTAAATACATTTTTTGTAAATACATATATAATATATGTATATAGAAAAAACGCATACCTGCACAATATAAATGTTTGTATCGTACAATGAATCAAACCCGCGCCATCGGAAATAAAGCCGTGGTTAAACCGCTAGATCACTGGGGTCCATATTATTCTATTTAATTACTGTCTTCGCTAAACGAATTACAATTTAAGAAAAAAAGCAGTAGAATATCGGATATATTCTAGGGGATGCTACAAATGTAGCGTAGTGAAGATATACTAAAAATATTAAATCACTGATTGACATAATTGATAATAAAATATAATATAATACAGAACAGTTGTATTGCTGTCATAATAAATTAAAATACATACAGTCAGGAAAAACATTATATACGCATTGAACGAAATCATTAATAAATTTCTGTTACAAACAGGTTAAAGAACTTTGAAAATGGGGACGGAGCCCTAATTTAGCTACCACTGTCATTCAACTTAAAAATAATAAAATATACCTTAAGCAAAAAAATAATTCACTTAGATTCTAATTTCAAATTACATCGGTTAGAATCAATAATTAATATGCAAATAATTAGAATTTAAACGAGTTTAAGAGTATTCCAAGCCGTAAATTATTGAAAAAAAAAATAGAATGCTTTATATTCGAATTGTTTTACTGTAGATATGTACAGATGATAGGAATGACTTTATATTGTCATACTTGACATTATATTAATAGTTATATAAAACCGCAATCATCTCTCCGGAACTGACCTACAAAACTAAAAGTTGACAAAAATATATACACTTAACTTTCATTTAAGTTATTACATATATAAAATAAATTGCTAAAGTAATTTACCGATTACTTAAATTTTGTCATTTATATCTCAGAAGTTATAATGTACTTTAGCGATGTAGCGCTTTAATATACTACCATTTAACAACTTCTTAGATGAATGCCACCTGCATTGGTGAAGAGTGCGGGTTTGATCTTCACGCATTACAAACGTTTATTCATTGGTGTTATTGGTTATCCTCCTGTGTACTTTCAACGTATATAACAAAAATGTAATAATTATAAAATACTCAATCCAACACAAATAAAAAAATATTAGTTCTATCAGAAGTCTATTAATCCATATTCAATTTAAGACTTGATGAGGTTGGGGTGGTATGATATGTTCAACGTCATATTATTACACTTTACAAAAAGAAATACAGTTATTTTAAAGTATATAAATATACTTTCCTGTCTTCATTCGGGTGAACCGTACGTTCAAATAGTGAAAAAAATACTCAAATCGGTCTCTAGTGGTTCCCAAGTTTCCTTTTCTCGTAAGAGATTTCTTCTATCTTTATAATATTATAAATAATATAGGTATAAACGTAATATGTTTTAAATACCTATCATCACGATTATCTAGGATCGGGTAGTCAGAGGCATTTTCATTTCATTAGCCGATGTCATGGTAAACGCAACACTTGACAATATTAGAATCCAGCGTCTACCACCGTCTATCAAATTAATTTTTGATTTTGTTTCTGGTGTTTCTTTTACAAGAGAGTCAGTCAGAAATATAAATAGACACACAACGATTTTTATTTGCGTCTGTCAAATTTGAACTCACGACCTTTTAAATGTAAGTATAGATAGTAAACCACTAGGCCACGACGCAGACAACAAATTTGCATTATAATATGTAAGAAATAGATTGAAACGCAATTTAATAGTGCAGCTGACATATTTATAGAATAAGGATCCGGTAGTTGTCATTATGTTGTTATGTTTGTCCAGTATTTATTAATTATAATTATTTATGGTACAACATTCGCCATCATCATTTAATATAATTTATTACTGGCAGTGCAAAAGGAATTATCATGGTACACAATTCCGGTTTCGTAACCGATTGACCAATGCGTTATTGCAAACGGCTTTCGCCTAAGTTGGTCATTATTAACACAAGTCGCTTGTCCGAAACAGTATCAGAGAAAGCTTGTAGGTAAATGGTTTTATTTATAGATTCAAGTAATATTTATATTTAACGCAGTGTTAGGTTTTCCTACAAATACATAAACATAGTGGGTATTGTTTCAACAAAAACATATATGGAATCATACATACTTAGATATTGCTTACGCTTAATAAATTAGTTGAGTTCTTTTAATCGACTTTTATAATAATAATAATCTCAGGATAATTCACACAGCGCCATCTAGTCCGAAGTTAAGCTAGGTAAAGCTTGTGTTATGGTTACTAGATAACTGATACGAATATATTGATTTTTTTTCGTAAATACATATGTATTACGTACATAGTAAATACCCAGACTGTTACAAACAATCAACTCATAATACAATTGTTTGTGCCGTGCGAGGAATCGAACCCGCGACCATCGGAAGTAAGGCGGTGTGCTAAACCGCTAGACCACCGAGGGCGTCATTTTAGTAATTTTATTTTATTTATTAAGTTTAATAATGTAGGTTTAATCACATTAAAAATCTCTAATTAACCTTTCCGCAGGCATGTTACTCGGTCCATTCGAATAAAATAAAATACAGACATCTACCCGTCGAAATCTACCTACGGCGCGGGGAATGTGACCGTCTCTGCCCTCAGGCATCGATTTTAATAAATTAAAAACAATAGAATACGATGTGATGGTACTTACAACCGAATTACATAATTAATTATCGAAGTATCTCTCTTTAATAAACATATATAGGAAGATAGGGTAAAATTTCTTATTCAAAATAATATACATTTGTAGTTATTCAAAGTACTTACTAAGTCATTAAAGTACCTACTTGTAGATATAGGCATGGTTGAATGTCCTCCTTTCCATCCCTAACCTATTGTACCCAAAATGTAAAGAAATTTTTATACAATAAATTAAATAAATAGATGCAACGACATAGGATGTCATTTTAAAGTTAACTTTATCCGTAACGACATACGAATGAAAATCCATGGTAGCGTGTATGAGTTTTACATCTACACTTTTACATAGCGTCGCGGTGTTGCTGATGAGTGCTATATTTCTCACTCCCACAAACCGTAGCGTACATATTTGCGTTTCGCTCTCTCTGGCACTGGGGTCGCGCAATCTGGAGCGGCAACGTAGGAATGAAACAGCCAGTAAAAGCATGCTACTCTGGGCAAACACACGCATGCTTTTCGTAATAATTTCGATCGCAATATATATTTTTTAATTAAGAATGTCTCGTTGGACAGAACATGATACGATTCAGCTTATAGAATTATACAAAACGTTCCCATATCTTTGGGATACGCGAAACAAATTATACAAATCCATGGTTGCCAGAAATTGTGCTTATGAACAAATATTAAGAAAAATGGACGACCCGGAGCTAACGATAAGCGACATTAAGAAGAAAATAAAGAATTTGAGATCATGTTATTATCAAGAACTTAGAAAAGTTCATAAATATAAATTAGAAGGACGTGCTTATACACCTGTGATGGTTTGGTTTACGAAGTTCCAAGAAGTTATGCAAGCAGTGCATAAAGCAGTAAGTTTTATTCATTATCATCAGTAAAAGTCTAATTTAATATACGTACCTGCATAATATTTATTTATATTTTGTTTCAGTATTACGAGGAAGAATCTGGATCTGAGAGCGAAGGCGTCAGTCTAGAGTATAATTTAGATGAGGATAAAGACGAATATGTAGTATCAATCAAGCAAGAGTTTATAGATGAAATTAAAAAAGAAGAAGAGACCTGCGCTCCTACGGATTACGAATACAATAAGACGCCAGTAAAACTGTACAAAACTAGTCTAAAACGAAAGGAACGAACAGATGTCCCTGTTGTGTCTGTGCCTCAAGTAAAAGTAAAAAAACCTGACGAATTTCAATTGTTTGCGGACAAAATGGCGGAGCAACTGCGGAATATGCCGTTAGATAAAGCTTTGGAATTGCAAATCGAAGTTCAAACCCTCGTCGCGAAAGAGCGACTTGATTTTTGTAAAGATGAAGATGAAAGTAATATGGATATGGAACAAAATTAATAATATGCTATAAAATGTAAATGGAAAATGTTTTTATTTTTTATTATATTCTGATTTTAAGAACATCTATTTATTAGTATCTTAATTAAAATGTCTTTAACAGAATTTGTCTTCAGTATTATCTCACACTTTATAAATTACAATTATAATTTGTAGCCAAATTTGAATAAAATTATATAAGTTTTTGGATACTCTGTCAAGTCAGATCGTTGGCCGATATACAAATATTAAAGCTCTTAAATTACTTAATTCCTTTCATTATTTTACAATAGTTTTTTTTTATAATTAGGTAATAAATATGTTATGTTTGAGATATTCATATGGTGATGCGTATCCAATATTGTCATGAATATTCTGTTTGTCATGAATCTATAATTGAGTGCGGTTTAGGATTACTGAAATAGTAATTTTTATTTTACATGCTGTTTGTTACCTGCAACTTAGTCTATATTTTTAAGTAATAGAGTTAATAATAATTTTGTAAGTAAGTATAATCTATCGTTTCCTCAAATTTTATTAGATTTTGTTCATTTGTTTAAATTTAAATGTATCTATCAATTTAACAAATTGATAGACACATTTCCATCTATATTGTTGTTTGTCTATAGTATGATTACGGGTAAAATCTCTACTTTATTGGCTCATTTTTATCTTATATCTCTTACTTAACATACGCGACGTTGGTCTTATGGTACTTCTAGGTGTTCGAACCTTAATTGAGGCTGTCAGTATTATGATTCCAGTTTGAATTAGGCAGTTAATGCTGACAGAGAGTGCCCGGTGCATATCTTACCAAGTATCTATTATGATCTGTACCAGGTGGCCAGAAAAGATACAATGGTATGACAAAAGGAAGGACAGTCTGTGTAGATAGATGTCAAGTTCACGGTATTGGCGTATTGGGGACGCATTGTGATCACGCGTATTAGTCATGATTGGTTATGAAAGGCCGGCCCGTATGTTTATGTAAGTGGCTAAGGTCGGCCTATGGTGGTTACCAGTTACATGTTAATATTTAGTTATGAGTGTATATCTATTATTTACTATCTTCACGCTACGTCCATAGAGTAGCCAGAGAGGCATAGTTCATAGACAAATTCATGTTGAGTTGTAATCAGTTAAAAAAAAGATAGAGTTGTCCTGTTACGTTTTTTTATTCCATAGTAATTATATTTTAATTTACATAGGCTCATGAGATCTACTTTACGTCTTATTCTTTTAGCTATCTTTTTGCTGACAAAAATTCAGTATTTAGATTTTTTTAAAGTATTGATAGTAGATAGTGTAATAGAAATGTATTTACCACTAAAGTATCTGATTAACGAAGATTATTATTTATAACACATATATTTTACTATACTATACGATATAGTAAGATATCGTTTCCAAAAATTTGTAAATAGCGTCATCCTCGCTTTATCTTCGAATTATAAATATCCTATTTGCAGTCAAATATATTTAGTAGTTAAGCCGTGATGCGAAACTAACAAACTGACAAAAAACTCGCATTCAGATGTTAATATTAACATGAGAATACCGTAGAAAATTTTATTAGCGTTGTAAGACAATTAGTAAGAATTTGCGTTGGACTTAAAATTTTATGACAAGAAAATATTGAAGTAAATGAACAGACATGTGAGAATACAATAAACTGTAAAATACTAAATAAACATATTATATTTTCCTTGTGTAAAATAGACTTATTAAAATAAATACTTCTTCATAATTATGATTAGGTCTGCTAATGTGGTGTGCCTTGGCTCCGTCTGTGAATTTTTACAAAGTTGGTAGAGGCTGGGCTAGCTGTTTGTAGTCAGGCTTTTATTTTACGTGAAGCTTACAGAATACAGTTGAGAAAACTGCATATGAATAGGTTAAGCCGTTTCTGAGACTATCGCGTACAAATAATGGACAGGTAAAAAATCTGACAGTAACTGTTTTAGTTTCTATTATTTTGATAAAATCTCCTAATATTTCTCTCAAATAGCTTCTTCAGACAGTACAGACAGCGGGCAAATACATATTTATTATATATAGAACCACAGTAAAATTAAAAATGTAAAAGTATATCATAGCAGATCTGCAAACAATTCTCAATGAGGTATAATATTAATCCCTTACAGTGTCATAGGCTTTACTCAATAATAACACAGAGTAATACGAACATGAAACAACTTAATACAGCTATTTAAGAAATACATACTCATCTGGAAGACTATGAAGGATTGACGCACGGTTTAGTCAATGGTTAGTGACTAACACAACTATTAATAAGATACTTAGTAATATTACAGAGGATTGTCTTATGAATACCCATGAAACTAATTAAGTATATTATAGTAATAATAATATCCCTGGACAATTCACACACAGACACAGCGCCATCTAGCGACAAGCTAAGTAGAGCTTGCGTTATGGGTTAGACAACTGATGTAGACAAAGATACTTTTTTTGATGGGTCGTCAACTTGATAGCGATTTTAATTGCATTTTTTAAAATCTAGATGTGTATTTATCTAACAAGTAATTATTTCAACAGAGCCGAAATAAATCCCCATGCATGACACTGTATGTATACCCAGGGAAACCCGTAAAATATCACAAAAACAAGTATAATATCTTTTTCGCGTGACTACATCAATCGCGTCAAGTCATTTAAACACGATAAATCATAATATAACCTCACTGTGTAATGTCCTGCAGTTCAAGGCGAGTTTTTATGCCTATATTCTGATGGATATGACAGTGGTAGTAATTTATATGCATATACCACATGCCATATGCATATATCTAATATATTCATATAGAATACGAATCATATCTCGCAGTTTTCTCGTAAAAATGAGAATTAAGATTAAAATACTTCAATGAAAATAAAAAAATGCCATTCCCAATTTAACTCTATTTATTTATGCATGTTTTCGATCACTCCCGGTCAGATAGTATCTACTTGTAAAAATTTGATCGGATTCTGAACATCAGAATAATAGATATGGTCTAGCGGTTTTTAGCATAGTGCTTTACTGTATGATTGTTTGTATGCGTCTGGACATTATCTATGTAGGTATATCATGTATGTATGTACAAAAGAAATATTTATATCAGTTGTCTAGTACCTATAACAGAAACTCTGCTTACCTTAGGACTAGATGGCGTTGTGTGAATTGTCCAGGGATACTATGATTATGATATCTAAATGAAAGCATAGACTTATATGAGTAGTCATTCACATTCACAATAACTATAATCATTCAATACATTTCTGTACAAGTTCCAAGCAGATATGAATAAACAATAATGACAAAGACGCTTATTATATACGTTTCAAATATATGAAGTACCAATAGACGGAAGAGACGTGCAGAAACTGCAAAATCTTTGTTATGTATACTTAATTGTTATTTTATTGAAATGTTTTGTTTTTGCATTACATATGTCGTAGTACTACTACGATATGAACCTCTACAGTAATTTATTTATAAGATCTGTTATAATTTAAAATTCCTATCTGTAAAAATATATATTATACACAATAAAGTATAAGATCAAATAAGTATGAGATCAATAGAGACCCTAATCGTCAAAATCGATTAATAGAGGTTCATTAGTACTGATAATTATAACTAAAGTTTTGAAAACCTACACCATTTTGAAATCGTTTAAACGACCAACATGTTCATACTAAAGTATACACTTACAAGGTAAATAATGAGAAAATATAATATTTTTACTGCACTCGTACTTACACTCAACTGGACCTGTCTTAGGTAATATAAACGTTATTATGATGGTAATAAGAATTATAATAATAATCGTCTAAGGCTTCGCTTTCCAAATTTTATTAAAATGACATAATATTTTTGCCATATATTATAATACTAACATCAATTATAATAAGGTTTATATTACTTATGCAAGTAATTGAATATTTTGGTATATGGCTGTCAATTCTTTTTTATTAGTATACGTATAAATAAAAAAACTATAGTTCAATAATATTAATGGATTTTCTTTTAAAGTATTACTCTTTTCGCTAATTAATTATTATGTTACGAAGACACACGATGACTAAAAATTATTTTATTGAATATTTCATGTATATAACATGAAAACATGAAATATTCAATAAAATATTTTTTTTTTAATTGTGATTCGATGGATTCAATTTATAATTCAAAATATCGATTATATTTTAGGGTTATAGGATTATGAATCGGTTCTTCAAATACGGTGCAGTTTGGAGAGAATATTGCATAACTTATACACATGTAAATATAACTGTCCTTTTTGGAGCCCATTCAATATTGATCTTTACAACTTTACTGCTAAGGTTTAAACTGTATTTATTGTACATAAATCAGTGAGTCATGTACTTGAATACAATCTGTATTATCATTCGACTATGTAACGCAAAATATGTATTTTCGTCATTTGAAGTTGTTGTAAATTACACAATAATTGAAAATACATACTTTGTTATTATTATATATTAGTTCATAATGACCAAAAAAGGTCATGATTTTTGATAATTTTGTATTATTTTATTTATACTATTATATATTTATTTTATTATACTTTTAGCCCATTCATTTAGCCATTGCATTTTATGCACTATTAATAATTAATAGTGCATAAAATAAATGGGCTGAAAGTAATCAGTGATGATGATTTTTGTATGATAAATATAATCTAAAAATATATTACAAAACTTATACTCTCTTAAAATAATTACTGGCAAAACCCCTTTAATAAATATAATATGGAGATTAAACCTTATTTTATTTTAATTTATAAAGAAACATACTTAAGAATCATAATGTATATATTGATATATTAATTACGAAGTTTTTAATATTTATAGAAAAGAACAATTTATTTCAATGGTAATAGTTCAAAATTTCAGTCAGAATATGTTTTCATACAAATTTCGTATTGCTCCAGAAATTGTATAACATATATAATTAATGTTATACATATTTCCTCTCATTAATTATTCACTGATATACAGCAGTAAATAATATGACTTATTTCAAATAACCATCAATAAATACCCATCTGTCTGCCTGGTAGAGAACCTTTCGCGTTTCTTATAAACCTACTATTAATACTATATAATATGGAATATCTATTTTTTATATACATGTAATTTATAAAATGAATCGTACTTTTTTTATTGTCGTGACGCCCCTGGAATCCTCGTGCACTTCCGGCGCATATGTCGTGCGCAGGCGCCGCTCTCGCCAGACACGCGGTGAATCGAGGGCGCTGCGTGGTTACAATCTATCTTACTCACTACAATATGGTAGTAAGTGACTCACATAAAGCAGTCTAGTAGTAGTAGTATCTACTGGCTGAAGGGGTGGTGTATCGGCGCTACCATGGCAGATTGCCGTCGTCAGTGCCGCCGTGAGCATAGAGTCAATTTATATTAAAATATTATTATTATTATTATTTCACAAATATGTTAGTCTATAAAGTATTTATAATATAGGCCATTAGTAGCCTGAATTAAATAAATAATAATATATAAAGTTAACTAATAATTTACTAAATCAGATGATTAATATTTTTGTAAGCTAAGAATTTTGAAAAACTTAATATTGCATACTTAGTGTGTCCAAGTGTTATTCAATGACAGCATTAAACTTGTTTAAATAAACTGATATGTAAAAAAATATAGGTATAATATGCATATTAAATTTTAAACAATAAAACTAGTAAGTCCATTGAAATATTAATGTTATTGCTATATTGTAGATTTCTTTGAACGCCCAATCAAAGAAAATTATTTTATGTTTTCAATAACAGATATTAATATTATAAAGAATTTGTATTATTGATCAAACAGTAGTAGTCAAACTCCATCACATAGGAAAAATCAAAATTTATTTAATTGTAGCGAAGATATAACGCAACATAAACATAAAAAGCAGTTGTATGAGAACAGTATTATGGAAATAATTAAAAACACACCGCACAATGTCATTTCTGGAGAACCAGACAGTTGAGCAGTCTGTACGTCAAGTTGATATCTTAAAATAGTCCGGAACAAGTTTAAACCCCTAACTAAAGACTACAATAACCGTTTTTGCTACATAACGGTTTTTATACAAACACCAAGAATACTTCCTGTTGCCAACCAAAGTATAAATAAATGTTTTTACTCACTAGCGGCACTGTTGCTAACCATAATATGGATAAAATTTTATTGGCGGCTCTTTAGACTCTGCTCTACAAATGGGAGAAACTTTATTATCTACTTTCTATGCATCTAGCTTTTATTATGTTTAGGATTAGAACTCAACTGGCAAAAAAATCTTTTAAGGTGTTATTGCCAGTTGAGTTGAATTTTAATCTTTAAGGTTTATTTTTAAAATTCCTAAATCTAAAGATGATACAAAATTTTCACGTGTGTGTAAGTACTCTAATTTGATTCGATGTACCAGTTATATTAGCAAACTGCTTCGTATACGTAGTAGTTATTAATTCAGTAGTTGTAATGTTGGTTAAATTCAAGTATTCGTTTTATTCTTTGAACTGTTTTTCATAGACAAGTGCGAGAATTTATAAAATTCACATATTTTTTGGAATAACAACGTTTGACGTCGGCTTGTTTGCTGTTCCAATAATAATAAAGAAAATATATTTAGTTTGAGTCGAATTTCCCAATAAATAACATATGTAATATGAAGCCAAATATTTCCTAGAATAATCACGGTAGCAGATGAGTCACCCTGGTCGATATTACACCATTATCGAGCAATTCATGAAGTGTAACTTACTAAAAATATATACTTCATTAATAATTTTCGTAGGTAAGGTATACTACGAGAGTCACTAATCACATTATGAGTAAGTAGTTATTTTTGTATATTGAAAACGTTTCCCGGAATAATGCCTTTATTAGAGTTTTGCCACTTTTGTAATGTAGGGCACTTATGTATCCACTACATGCATTAAAAATATGTATGTGGCTGATTCTATTATTCTCTAAATGCTAATATTTTTTATGGATTATTAGGAAATGGACTATCCAACTGTGTGCTATTGTGCAACAACAAATGTGCTATGCTTACCATACGGTAAGTGTATACACACTGCCGGGGCATCAGTGGAGGATGGTAGAATGAGTATGAAGTCAGACCAATTATGATGATTTCATTAGGAATTAACGTGGGGGACTACATGTGAGGTCAACCTGACGTGGTACACAATAATGGGGCCAATAGTACCCATTAGGAGAGAAAGGGATGTTTAGTAATGAGAACTAGTGGCCAGATAGCCAGCAATGTACCATGGCATAGGCCTCCACGCGGTTCTTCCTGCAATCCATCATGTTATAATCCTTGTAAATTTGTCAATATGAGCTGACTGGCCTGACCTCATTCTCATCTTATCATCCTCCACTGGAGCCCTGCCGGGGTATACTGTTGGCGAACTATTCCATTAACTTCCATTAAAAAAAATTTAACCCATTTTTAATAATTCCGTGCTGTCCCGTCGTTACTTTACAAAAAATGAAATGCGAATGCGTCTGTTTGTCGGTCTCTTATCTTTTCACGACTAAGTAGCTAAAAAAATCTAAACTTGCTGCTTTTTTACCGTGATGTCGGGTAACTACAGGAGGGCAAAAAGTATCAATCAGTAGCCTTTTCTATATTTCCAAGACTTGCATAAGCAATCTTAAGTAACGTCAACGCAACTAACCTTCGTTCGTTAGAGATAGGTCACGCGCTGATTATCAGAATAGAACTTGCATTGAAAGAAGTGTACTTTTAGTAATATTAAAGTAACCCATTACCTTTGACTTTTGAACCGACTTTAAAAAATGGATGAGGGTTTCGTTTAATTCCACTGTTGTGGTTATTCTAAGAACTTTATCGACATGAACCGATTTTGATAATTTTCATTCTACTTTAGCTACATTGATAATGTTCTCGTTTTTCATCTTCAAGAATGTCCCCAATTATGTAAATGGTACTTGTTTTTGGTTTTCTATCTATTGGGTTCTCCGACAAAAACAATGATATAAAATCTTTTAAATATTTGTTTGGACTGCATTTTTGAAAAGAAAATAATCATTGAAAAAGGAAGGAGAAATACGATTTCGCCCGCCCAAGAATAACGTCATCCACACTCCGAAGTCCGAACACTCCAATGAAATCAATGGTTTAAAATTTACTTTTAAGAAATCACCTTTACTCTAGCTTGCGATGTGTAGTAGACTATTTAGTGGCCACGAACTCTATAGTGTATATTGTAATAAAAACAATTATATTGTATTAATTAAATCAATAAATTTCTTGTTTTAAAATAGTTAAAATACGGAGCGTCCATTTTACATAATTCTTATTTTCAATTGCTTGTTTCTTCTAAATTTGAAATTTAAGTGTTTACAGGTTTTTATTGGTGGCCAGTATTATCAAGCGTCCTTTGTTCCAGTAAGCAAGCCTGTTTGTATTAAGAAAGTATTCGGAATACGGAACAACTATCAACAAGATTAGAGAAGTATCTACATATATAGCTGATTCAGTTATTCAGTACATACTAATTTTTTTTATTGATTATAATTAATGGTACACCCGCCTGCCCTGCGCTCCACATCCCGTATACACTGCTGGGGCATTTCTGGAGAATGATAGGATATCGTCAGGTCAGCTAGCTAATCGTGACGAATACACCAGATATTAATGTGGGGTGACTGGAGGTCAACATGATCTTATTTGCTTCTTTTGAATGATAACTAGTAAAGAATATATCGAGGGACAAAATATATAAATTAAGGGTATTGAAACCACTCAACAGTTTCCAGTCATTTCATTATGCATTGTAACGGCTAGTTATAGACTACAGTTTAATTAATTAATTGTTTAATTACAATTAAAGTATGTTTAATTTTACGTTTATTTGTTCTATGTATAAAAAAATATTTTATAATATAGGCTTTTGTAACAATTATAATATACATAATCATATATTATATAAATAAGTCTTTTTCTACAGCATTTGTCATTTTCTTTAGACATATTATCTGGTTTATTTAATTCAGATGGTCCAAGATTTAATACATAAAAAATATGTTTAATCCGTCAACATAAACTCAATTTAAGATATTCGCATATTTAGTAGAATAGTGAATGTTATATAAAAATATTATAGAAGATATAGAGAGGTAGAAAGGAAACAAAAATTATAACAATATATTTTTTGACATTTATTTTTAATGAATGTACCTATGTAGGTAAATTTACAAATCACACATTTTATGATTTCCTTTCTATTATATTTAATTAAAATATATTTGAAACCACCTAACAAATTCAATATATAGTCATAATAATATGGCGTCTAGTAAAACTTCTACAAGAAGGGTAATGTTCTATTATTTTAATAAAATTTGTACCGTACGAACATAGCCATAAAGAGTATTTTTGCCTGTCTATTAGTTTGCCTTTACGTCCTATGGCTATACAGTGCATCATACATCTGCCGAATGACGCGACGTTGTCGCTGTGTTTTACGCTTTCTCCCTCACACAAAGGAACAAATCATTGCATTTCGCTCACACCATATCCAGTGCGGGGGGCGCTCTCTTCCACAGAGTGGCAACGTTGAGTCGTCAGACACCCAGTAAAAGCATGCTATTCTGAACAAATAGACGCATGCTTTTGTATTTTTTACGGCTATATTAAATTATAAATAATGTCTCGGTGGTGTCGTTGGTCAGAATTGGACACAACCAAACTAGTAGAGCTATACAAATCCAACTCTTTATTATGGGATGCAAGGCATAAATTTTACAGAAGCACATCAGAAAGAAACCGTGCGTATGAAAAGATATTAGAAGTATTACAGAACCCGAATATATCTGTATCAGACATAAAGATTAAAATAAAGAATATGCGGTCGACATACCATACTGAGCATAGAAAAATGCATAATTTTAAAATTGAAGGGCATGATTATATCCCGAGCCAAAGCACGAAGATTTGGTTTACGAAACTCAAAGAAATTATGGAGCAAGTCCAGAAGAACGTAAGCAATTGATATAAATAGTATATTATTTACTTATTATTAAATTTCATATAGTAACTAGGTAATTAGATGTTTAACATAATATTCTTTTTGTTACAGGAAGAGGAAGGAGTAGAAATTGGATCTGACAGCGACGACAACCAAGAGACTGTTATAGATTGCATTGACGAGAATGAAGCTGATGATGGTGATGCATATGTAGTTTCTATTAGACAAGAATACCTAGATGAATTAGAAAATAGGAACCAGAAAGCGATGGCAGATAATTCTGAAGAGTTTAGCCAACCGCAAAAGAAGTTTGCAAGTACGAGAACATATTCGAAACCAGTACAAGAATGTAATAGAGGAATGAAATTCGATGAATTCCAATTGTTTGCAAACAATATGGCGGAGCAACTTCGTACATTACCATTAGCCAAAGCTCTAGAGTTACAAGTAGAACTCCAAACCCTTATCGCAAAGGAACGTATATATTTGTACAAAAAGAACAAAGAAAATAATACGGAACGAATTGAATAATTTTAGACTCCTTCAGTACTTAAATGTTGGATTAGTTATAATTTAAGTAATAAAGTTATTTCTTTTATTTTATGTGGTTTTATTTCGCAAATACTGATTATATTTATTATTAAAGCTTACAAAAATATAAATTTGTAATAAATAACGCTATTGTAAAATAACAGATGTATTAATAACTAAAACTAAATTCAGTTATTTTTTAATGTAACAAACTACCTACATTCTGTAATTTTTTTATTAAATATAAATAAACTAAGTGCGTAGGTATACATAGTCTAGACATCGTATAATTATTTAAATTTCAGTCTTTGTGTAGATATTTATACTCATATGATAAAGAGGAAAGTATTTTAATTACACAAAATTATTTGATTGTAATTTATAAACTTAAAAAATTTGCTATATTATCAGTGATCAAGATGGCTCCATTCCATGTTATGAAATGTTTTCGTTTTACGCTGGGGTCGGCTACACCAGTTTTAATAAGCAACAGGATTAAATTATTGTAACATTTTTTTTTACAGAAAATAGGAATGTTATTGTTACACTTCCCTACAACTTCCCCAAATGTAACTGATTTCTCAAAGATGTGGGAACTTTAGCTGCGCAATGAACGTATGTATTCAACGTCGATTGTGTATATATATTTAACTCTATTTCACTTATACGCCAAACAGCTTGCTTTTTAATCAGTGTTTCTGTTTGAAATATATGTAGATAGAGGAACATAGAAGTGAACTTATAAACGGGAGTGATACCTCAGTCCTCCGTAATGACTATATATTTATTATTAATTTAAAGTAATATATGTCGCTTTCTGTGTGGCGACATCCTTTTGGCCTGTCTTATATTATGATCCTGTATCTGTATACTTAATTTTATTTATTTATTTTTTAATGGAATATATGAGTATGTCATGGGCTTTAAATGTATTGTTCATGTATATAGAAGATGACTGCCGCTAACCATCCGATGGGCCCGTGATACAAAATTAAACCATCTATGTCTTTTGCTAGCAAATCCTCAGTCTATAGTGTCACCCTGAACATAATAGTCATGCTCAGTAATATATACAACAATTATCAGCTCATGAAATAATCGTCTTTATTACATTGGTATTTAAAGGCTATATCAATTAAATTTTTATTGAAGGGCCAAGTTGTACCTAACATAAAGATGCATGTCAAGTTCGTTGTATTGGGGGCGCATTGCGTGCACGTGTATTAGGTAAGTACATACTTATGACTCATGACCATACTGGTTATGAAAGGCCTACCAAAAACTATACAATTTGATTCATAGTCCGCATGTTTATGTAAATTTTGAGGCCATTACATAGTAGCTGGATTTAGTTATACTATTTTGTATTGCATGCAAATAATATTTAAATTACGGTAGTTACACAATTTTTGCTATTATGGCGTTAAGTAATTTTTAAATGTTATTAGATATGGCAATAGAAAAATTAAGTATAGCATCAAAAATGACGTAGTATTTTTACTAGATTCCAATACATACCTACCAATAATAGTAAATGAGGGGTTTGTTAATAATAATACCCTCCATGTTATCAATGTCACCAGTTTAACATGCAGGCGGTCCTCCTGGAATCCATTGTTTTTAATTCCTGTTGATTTTGGTACAATGAATTAACGGCCTTCATGCTCATCTTATCATCTTTCACTGGTGCCATGCCCGCCGGCATATACCGTTAGTGCAGACGAATACACTGTACTATTATCATCAATTACAAAAAAATGTATCTACTAAATATTTCCTCTCTAGTAACTACACAAAGCAAAATTGAATTAGGCATAGGTACTTGATAACATTCCGTAGTCTTAGGTGACTATTTTCGAAACTGTATTCATTTTGCCCAATGTATTACAATAATAATCCTAGACAATTGACACAGCGCCACTAATCCAAAGCTAAGCAGAGTTTCTGTTACTATTTGCATAGCAAGCAATTATGTATTTATAACAATAACCTTGGACAATGCACACATCATCTAACCCCAAGATAGTGCTTGTATTCTGGGTACTACACAACTGATATAAATACTTAGATATTCTTTTATAAATTCATGTATATAGAAACACCCACACCAATACAAACTATCATACTCCTGAATATAGGTGTGCAGCGTGCGATGAATCGAACCCACGACCATCGATATCAGTGTGTTAAACCGCTAGACCAGCGATACCGCGAGGCCGTCAATCAATCGATACCATGTAACTCGTATTAGAGGTCGTTAAACATATTAATTATTTATTTAAACATATAATAGTATATTCCATCTTCATTGCTAGCCTTCCTTGAGAGTGCATTTATCGCCTATGTTTTGTGAGGAAGGAACAGCGAGCTAGTGAGTACGTCCAATCGTGTCAAGGCAAATCATCAGTAGTGCATCAATACTGTAGATTGTTAAAATAATCGACATCATCGACATTCTTTAATAGAATATAGTTAATTCACTGGTGTACTGTTCTCACTTATAAGATACCCAACATGATTGTAAGTGCAATTCTAACAATGCAATGCAATGCAATTCTAAGTGACTATGAAAAGTTTAATGCACCAACTGTTTTTGATGATAAAAGATATAACTGTTAAGAATAAACTAAATTCAGAAAAACAGCAATCGTAATGAATGATAATTTTAATCCCGGTAGTATAACAACAAATGCCTTTGATTTTTTATACAATCTTCAAAGATAAAGTATAAATATCCATGAGATTAGTATTAAGCAAGTATATAAAATATACAATATCTAATCATTTATGTTATATCTTTATTTTATACATACTAGCTGATTGTCACCAGCTTACAAAATTTTCGTCTTTAATATTTTATCAATAACAATATTCTGAAAACATTGATGAAAAAATTTGAGCTTCCAATGACAGAACATTTTGTTAGTGTAGTTGTTAGGTAGAGGTCTAACAACTTGTCGCCACTATGAGTGTATTTGATTGTAACTAATATAATAGGAATAGAACTTTTCCTAACAAATGGGACATTGATGCTGTAATAAACATATTTATTATTGTTATTTTAGCCTTGCTCTAGGACTACATATTTTTTTATAAACCTAGTCTATCTAGTCCCACGGTTAGCAGAGCTTGTATTATGGATATTAGACGACTGATATAAATACGTAGATATATTTTATTTTGTAAACTCATACATAAAATACATAGAAAATACCCAGACCAATGCAAAAAATCATACTCGTGAATACAAAGTTTATACCGTGCGAGTAATCAAACCCGCAACTATCGGAAGTAAAGTGATGTTCTAAACCGCTAAAAAACCGAGGCCTTGGAAATAATAATTCAAATAATTCTTATTTCTAAGGCCTCTAAGTGTTCTTCTATTAAATAAATATATGTCTGTTATATTATTATTATTATATCAATAGTTTTATTACGTACTTATTATTTACTTAAAAATTTGTGGGCGTGTACACTATTACCACTTTGACCACTGTCTAAAGGCCATCACGGCGCTGATAATACAGATAGCGTTATAATCTTGGACACCCAATACGATAGGTGTTATTGTCAGTTTCGCGTCAGTCATTACTTAATTTGTGGAAACATAATAATACCCAGATTTAGTCGTACTGGGTATCCAAATTTGGTAATCCAAAGAAGCAACGACAAGACTTACTTATTTCTGATGGTCGCAGGTTCGACTTCTTGCACGATGCGACCACTTATATTCATAACTATGAGTGTTTAATAATTAAATATATAGGCCTGGACAATTAACACAGCGCCTAGTCCCACGGTTACCAGAGCTTGTGTTATGTGTACTAGACAACTGACATAAATACTAAGATATATTCTTTGTGTTTGTACTAATTTATACATATAATTACAACAAAAATATTTAAGTATTCCTATCCATTGCCTAGTACCAGTAGTAACTATCAGACTAGATTACTCTGTGTAAATTTTCCAGGGTTATCATTCTTATTGTACAAACTATGCAGTGGCGTGTTCAATTTGGTATGAAAAGATCAAAATGTATTTTCAGATTTCGTGACGAAATTTGTTTAGTTTCGTGTGTATGATTATATTCTATGTCTATACCTGTGTAACTAGATAATAGACATGCGAATTATCGTCCCTTTTTCATGTTATTTTTGAAGGTACTCGTAACTTTCTTATCTAAGTAATCAATTTGATTATACTGATGTGATTCTAAACTTGCTCCTCAACTCAAGTACCCTAATGGTCCTAGAGATCTGACACCGACAAAGCATATATAGTCTGTAGGACTGACAAAGTGCTTCTGAATGTATCATAAAAGCTCTCACATAGCGACTGTAGAATACAGGTGTAATATGTTTCCTTTCATTATGCTTCTTGTACTTCAGTTCTATTCTGCTTTATTTTAGTCTAAACAATGTGATGGTAATGGTCGATCGATTATTATGTCAACCATCAATTTTACATATAATTTATGATGATAAATAACTGACAGCGAAAGATATCGTCTGATGAACACCTTTATACAATATCGCACTTTATCTCAGATTATGGTTTATAATAGTACATAATGGATGTACTTCATATATATGTTGACATCTATGACGCAGATCGTCATATTTTATCGTTAAGTAGGTATGGTATAGAGCAATATTGACAGATTCTCTCAGGTACAAAGTAGATATACGTGATTGAGTTTGGAAATAAATTCAGGTTGAACTTTGAACTGAGAATTCCAACTGAATGTGCCAGCTAATCTAAATAATTCTAGAAGAAGAATAATTTAATTTAAACAAAATTAACAATATTTGTATATTAACAATGTTTCATAAATTGTTAACTTTTGTGAGGCAAAAAACATTTTTTACTGATTTCTTCTATTGTACCCATACAGTAAAATATCATTATTTGGAAATAAATTCGGGTTGAACTTTAAATTGAGAGTTTCAACTGAATGTGTTAAATGTTAATCAACATAATTTTAGTATTTAATTCAAACAAAATTAACAATAGTTGTATATGTTTAATAATTTGATACATAAGATAAAAATATTTTTTGTTACTGTA